CATACATACATACATACATACCTAGTACCTACCTACCTACCTACCTACCTACCTACATACATACATACATACATTACGTACATTACATACATCCATGCATACATACATACATTACATACATACATACATACATACATACATACATACATGCATGCATGCATGTATGCATGCATGCATGCATGCATGCATACATGCATACATGCATACATGCGTTACATACATGTATGTACACATGCACACATATATGCGACCAAACCATCCAAATGTTGGCCCGTTCGTTTTTTCTACCTGGCCCTGACGTGGTACCCAAACAGCCACAAGTAGAAACATTATGAAACACATGCCCGGAATGTGATATCTACCTAGCTATACATATACATATATACACACAAGACTCTGTAATCCATCTATCTATCGATCTATCCATTAATATATATATATATATATGCTTATCTGAAACATACAAGGATCTACATAACCTTATCCGAACAGATCCACAACAACCCTCGGCGAGGAGTTCGTTCTGTGCCTGCTGCTCCTCATCTTCACGCGCGACGAAGAGGAGTTTCCTGAGGCAGGTTCGCGGTGTTCAAGGATGATTCAAGGCAGCAGTTCGAAGTTTGGAGTTCGGTGACAGTCTGTCATATAAGGACATGGAATTTCTCGAATTCTTCGCCGGGAGGGCAAACCTGACCTATGCTTGCCGCCGGAAGAACTACAAGTGTGCAAAGTTCGACATCCTTTACCATGATAAAGATGATCGGTGCACAAGCAGTTATATGGACATGTTGAGTGCGCCAGGCTTTCTGCATCTCGGTCCAGAACTGAATACAGCATTCTCCTTTAGCTATAGATACGAAATTGTTTTGAGCACTTCCTTGATCCTGGCCTAGGTTAGCATGCTTCTTTGTACTTCGGGGCTCACCGTCCGGCTTCGTGGCCCTATTTGCACTGAAGTGCTCCTCATTCTGTGGTATGAACAGGGGCACATCAAAGCGTTGCGAATGCTCGGCTATGGGTGATTCTGCATACAAATCAGTGAGGGAAGCGAATAGTTTGTTGGAGAGGCCTGTGGAGCTTTCATGTGCATTTCATTACATTGCTGTTTTCTCGATGTTGAAGGTTTCTGATTGTTCCGACATACTCCCTGTGGCAGGACAACCCTTTTGTGCTATCTGGTTGCGAGCCTGAAGGGATGCTTCGTCCTAGAACAACCTGGTGGTTCACTCGTCCAATTCCACCCGACATGGCGCAACCTAATGCTTGACATGTACAATGTCCTCGGCTGTCAAGCAGTGACTGGCTCAGCCTTTATTGTCCCGTACCTACCCTCAAGCTAGGCAAGTTCTATTTTCCAAACTAAACTGAGGTTTTTCAAGTCGAATGGTGGATGGGTTTGTATGGTGCAGCGACACCAAAAAGGCAGTATGCCTTTTCGAACAGTCCGCATATCTGCTGCTTGGAGACAGGAAGGTTGGACAGGAACGCCTGGAGTTCTCAACAAAGCGAGGTGGTTAAGACCACCAAAAGGAAGCGAGGTGAGGATGGTAGAGAGAAGTTCACTGCCACACCGGCTCTTCGTGACACGCAGCAACCCGATTGCTTTAGAAATCACGAACCCAAAGTAGATACTGATAGATAGATATATAGATAGTTAGATAGATAGATAGATAGATAGATTATGTATGTATATATATATATATATATATAGATTGGTTGATAGATCGATCAAATAAAACCTTATATTTACTCTATATATATATATACAACCGTAAAGCATATTATAGTGAGAGATAATGATAATAGTATGGTTTTAGGATAACCTTGTATACTGCACTTAGATGCATAAAGACGCCGATTCGAGAGGCCCAACATACAGGCCCAAAGCGGAGCCCCAATGGAAAGGCCCACAGCAGAACCCCCTAAAGTCCAAAAAAACCCAAACCCTAAATCCCAACAACCCTAAAGCCCAAACCCTAAATCCCAACAACCCTAAAGCCAAACCCTGCGCTTGCCCAACCTAGAACTGCCCAGGGAGGTCCGAGAAAGTCAATAACAAGATCCCTAAATAGATTGCCCGGAATGGTGCTTTGGTTCAACTCGAGATATCTATCACCCAGTCAGCCCAGGATATATCCCATGAGATTCGCCTGCCACGTGGCTGACCACATCGAGAAGCTGAGGATGACAGGCCAGGGGCAGCCTGAGCTTCCGGAGGTTCTGCCGGCAGCGACAGACACGTTTCGTGCTATGTCCTACAATACGAACTCGGAGCTTTGGTCGAATGTGAATTTGAGAGAGTGTTTTGTGTATTTGAGAGGATCCACAAGGCTCAAGGTACCCGAAAAGTGGCAAACCTTGGTGCCCAAATCCTTTCCTCTGGCCCCCTAGAATCTCACAGGTGCTCGGAAGCCTACAGGAAGGGTCGGGATGTGGTTTCGAAGGGAAATCAAGGGCAGGGATCAGGACTTCATAATTTGTTGGTTGAGTTTTGCTCGAAAATACTTAGGGGGCTTGTGGCTTTTGTTGGGTTTTAGAAGCGTTTATATACCTCTTTGTTGGTTTTAAACAGCTTAACATAAATTTTACACTAGCCAGTGAGCGTAAAAACCCATATTTACCCATAAATAACCCATAAATGCCCCGTAAAAACCCATAAATCCAACCCGTAAAAACCCATATATGTATCAAACCCTACTTTTTCCAAAAAAGCGGTACCCATAAATAAAGCGTAAATACCCCATAAATAAAGCGTAAAAACCCATAAAACATTTATGGGTTATTTGCTTCCGGGCTGTGAGACTTCTATCAAGCCTTGAAGGTGTTTTGAACACCCTAATTGGGCATTATATGCCTGCCTCTGCGGGGTCGTTGACCGTAATTTGCGGCCGGAAAGATTCTTATGCGCCGACATATATGGGATTGGGCACATTGTCCAATTGTGAACTCAGTCACCCCTGAAACCGCAGGCCTCACAGCAATCCTTGTTGTAGGTTCCGTGATCCAGGGACCAGATGTCGGGTCCTGTCCGATCCAAAGCATGGAGCAATGCTACACTAGACGCCGGTGTGGCCTCTGTGTCCCATGAAGCAGAGCTCGAACATCTAACAGCCGAAGAAGCTAGATTGCTATCGGAGGTGCAGGACCCACTGCAGGGATTTCGGGAACGATAGGTGCACACCTTTGCACGCCCTAGTAAACCCTAAACCCTGGATAACCCTATATACCCTGCTGGCTACCAGCACAGCAGCAACAACAACAAGACCGACACCAGCACCAACACCAACACCATCACTTCCACCACCACCACCACCACCACCACCACCAGCACCACAGGCACCAACAGCACCAGCAACAGCAACCGCAACAAGAAGAAATAGAAAATGAAGACCCACTGCTGCTGCTACTATGCGTCTACTACTATCTACTGCTGTTGCTGCTGCGACTACTACGATGGCTTGCGTTGGTACTGCTACTGCTGCTGCTGCTGCTGCTGCTGCAGCTGCGACTAGACTACCATAGCTTGTGTTGCTACTACACTGGTGCTGCTGCTGCTACTGTCGCTGCTTCGACGTTACTAACACTACTCCGCTATGCCTCCTCCCTGTGCTGCTTTAGTCAACCTCCTAGGAAGAACCCAAGCCCAAAGCTTGTTTGGATTCGAATTACTTTACGGGGTGTCTTCAACCAAAACGTGACAATCGGACCTAAAAAGTAATACCTCAAAAGCAAAGCTTATGTTGACGTATTATTTTAAAGGTCCGGTTGACACGTCTTGGAAGGTTCATGGCAACTTCCTCGATGAGCTCTAATATTACATATATACCCCAAGCCCAAACCCCAGACCCAAATTATGCCGAAAAATCCCAAATATCCACAACCCTGAAGTCCGGGCGCTGGCTTTATGATCATTTGGATCAAGTTCCTTAGCTATATATAGTCGGTTTCGGTTGTTATGTAAAAAACAGAAACCAAACAGGGTCTCGCTTATAAATACAGACCGAACTCACGGTTTCTGGGGTGCTGCAGGCGATGGCTACATGGAGTTAGGGATATCAACTATATATGTTGATAAAACCCTAAATAAGATAAAAGGGAACACCAGGCCGCAGCCTCGACAGTGCCACAGGCTTCATCGAAGCCGATGCCTCCATCCGAGCCATGGACACCAGATCCTTGATCTGGTATCCATGACTCGGATGGAGGCATCGGCTACAACTGGGCCACGTTCCTCCTGGCGGGGAGTTTGTAGCTATACACGAAGACTCCACTCATTGTAGCACTATATATTTCGTAATATCTATATATATATACACACATAGGAGCAGCAGTTATAGTTATAACTCGTAGTAAGAACATTACAAGTAGTAGTACTGGTAGTAGCAGTTGTACAGGCAGTGTCTGCAGTAGCAGCAGCAGCAGCAGCAGCAGCAGCAGCAGCAGGAGTAGTAGTAGTAGTAGTAGTAGTAGTAGTAGCAGTAGCAGTAGCAGTAGCAGTAGCAGGAGGAGTAGTAGTAGTAGTAATAATAATATTAGTAGCAGTATGGCAAAAGTGGTAGTAGCAGCAGTAGTAGTACGAGTAGCAGTAGTAGTCGTCGTAGTCGTGGTAGTAGTACTAGCAGTAGTAGTAGTAGTAGTAGTAGTAGCAGCAATAGTAGTAATAATAATATATGCAGTCTAGTAGTACTAGTACAATCTTCAATTCCCCCGAAGCACCGCTTGACCCTGTAACCAGGACCTGGAAGAAGCCCTGTGCTGGACAGATGCAGATCTGACAGCCGACTCCACCCTCGCCCCTGTACTGCACGACGTTCGGAAACTTTCTGAGGTTGTCCTGATCTCCCCGAGGTCGATCCATACACCCCATCGCGGGCCTCGGGCGCAGAGACTCTCGAGACGATCCCAGTACCTAGCCGGAACATCAGACCCAGGTTTACTTAAATGTTTGAAACGAAACTATGAGGCGACTACGGCTGATCTCGAAGCTGCCGGGCGGCTTGGAGATGCTGGTGTTGATAGTGATATCGAAGTGGATGCTACCCGGTTGCAACTTCTTTTTCCCACCTAATAACCCTAAACCCCAATTTATACAGGAATTTATTTGAGCTACCGCTGATTTCGATGGAGTTAGTCATGCATCAAGGACCTTCAGATGCTCAAGTTCTTTGAGGGCTTGCCACGTGTGAAGATGGAGCAAGAAGCCTTGAAGTCCCCGGAGCCCCACGCGTGCCGACCCGATGCACCTGATGAGGAAAGTTCAGCCCCCAAGCCTGACCCTTCTGCTACAGCCCCGAAAGGCAGTCAAGTCCGACCCCTTCCAACCCCTTGCCGAGCAGGCCCCACTGCGGGGGTCAAACGTGAGGCCCAGGCTGCAGGGGCAGGTGCCGTCGAGGGCTCGTCGCCTAAGAAGGCCAAACTTGCTCCCAAAGCTCTGACTCGTCAGGACTTCTGCTGACTACATCTGTTGACTGAGGTCTTGCTGTTGTTTGCATGTATGCCACTCAGTTGCCAAAGGACAGACTCTTGTTGGCTGCCCGTGCAAGATTGGGTCGCTTCGTGGCCCCAAAGAAGAACCGAAAAGAACTCGAAGCACCAGCGTGGGTCAAAGAGCATTGGAAGGGACACAAACAGGAAATGAGTATGCTCATGAAAGACTGCAATTTCGACAAGGTCGCCTGACTCAATGAGTTGTTGACAAAAAATAGTAGCTGAATCTAGCTTCAAAGCCTGATTCTTCAACATTAGTAAACTCAATCGTATAAGGAGTGCTTCTTGCAGAAGCTGGAGCGAATCATCACCAAGAAGGAGAAGCAGAAAATCAAGCTGGATGCTGGATGGTACTCGGAAGCTGAAATGAAGTCTGAATTGAAATGGGGCCCGCCGGCAGCTTACACAAAGTTCGTGCGAGGGGGAGGGAGGGAGAGAGGGAGAGGGAGAGGGAGAGGGAGAGAGAGAGAGAGAGAGAGAGAGAGAGAGGGATAGATAGAGATAGGGAGCGAACGATGCACACACGCGCACACATGGATTGAGTTTCTTGTTGTGTTTCAAGTGACTGTTTTTTCGCTGCTCAAGGACTCGGGTCACTGGTGCACTAAAGTACTGCCGTTCCCGGCCGGACACACACGTGCGGTGCCTTGGCTCTGTCTTCGAAATCCCTACAACTGATCTACTGGGTTGCCCTGGCAATTCTGAGGAAGAATCAATACGACCAGGTCGAAGAATACTGGATCACAAGCCGAGAGTCGGGAACTGTCGAAGAGTCACTCACGAAAGAGGAGAAGCATTACGCATCTGAGAAGGCACGGGTTGGGCTCATCAATAAACGGTCTGTGTTCTGCGGGTTTGCATGAACTGACCAGGCCGACAAGCCTGTGGATCTGGGTTCTGGATTCGGCAGCGGCCTAGCTGCTATGCAAGGCAGAAAGGATGCTGAGAATCGCCAACCTACTGCAGATGAAAAGTTTAGCCAGGTGGGATTGCTTCTACGAACACGATCATATCTGATTTTGCTAGGCCTTTGTTCTCTTACTTCTCATCCTGCCGTTTGCAGATCAAGAGCACCCTGAAGAAGTTCGTGGACAGTATTGTGCAGAAAACCAACAAGATGAAGGGATTGATCAAGGATCTTCGCGACAACTTCTCTGAGTCTGCCGATGTGTCGAAGTATCATTACTGCAAGGGATTACATGAACGTGTGCAGTATTCTAGAATGATTTTCCCATTACATATCACTGCTGTTCTCAGGTCTATCAAGGATCTGAACGACCAGGTCCAGAAGATGGAGTATCACTATGAGAAATGCAATGAAATCCGAGTTCGTGGTGACTGTTTCGGGTTCAATGATGCGTTCCTCAGATGATCTGCAATATAATTTAGGGTTTAGAAGGGTTTATATATAACAGGTTACAAATTATAAACCCCTAAACCCTATATAAACCCTAAACCCGAAAGGCCTCGATCCTCTTCTGAGCAAAGCACAGCCCAGGTTGTTCGTGGAGGCCGAAAAGCAGATGAAGGATGCCACCTTTGTGCGATCTTCTGAGATTGAGGGTCTACTTGGGCGGCTATATGTGGGGCTCTGTAGGGACGGTTGAAACTGTTCTGATTTGCAAGTTTTGTCTCAAGGTGCAGCAAGGCAATGGCCTCGGACACGAAAATCAGGAGCCCCGGTACATAGCTGAACCTTTTCATGTGCTGACTGTTCCTTATCGCAGGAACGACAAGAAGTTCTACAGCAAGAGTTCTGATGCGGGGCCGAAGCGAGCTGCTAAGGCCAAGGCTAAGCCTGCCGTTAAGAATGGTAAGAAGTAGAATCGAAAGGGGTTCTCAAAGGGTTTTCACCGAGCGGGTCAACCTGCTGCCTCCTGAGCGCCCTGCTGGATGATGACATAGCGCCATAACGCCCCAAGAGCATGCACACCTGGCTGTTTCGTTTCATACTAGCATGATGTGCTTAAGTCTTCAAAGTGGTGCCTCAGGTGGTCCGTGTGTTTCTGTGTGCTCCGGAAAGGGGCTTCGCTGCGGTTTTCGCCGCATGCATAATGACATGCGCTGCATCGCTGGGGGTATCGAGGGAAACGAAGCTTCAGCACCACCCAGTAAATTATCCTAAACTTCCTATAAACCTTGTATAAACCCTAAACCCGACACCCAATCATCTAATCTTCAAGGAAGAACAAATCTAGACCCGACACAACCCGTACAAAAGTGCCTCAACTCGTCCATGCTTCCCTGTGGCTCTTTCTACTTGCCGGCAATCCAAGAATGAGCTTCATAACCCCCTCGAGCGACACCATCCCAGCACCATCAACTTTAGATTGAATCCCGGGTCTGGAACATTGATGCCAGGTCCCAAGCCCGGCCACACAATCCGGGGCCTCGCAGCAGACATCGGTAGTGGAGCTACGACCTCAGAGTACTGGAGCATGTCCGGATCTTGTCATCGAGACTCCGAATGCACCTTCTGTACTCTCTTAATACTGTGGTTTGGTGCTTGGCGAAATCTTGTGTGTAGTATATAGAGTCCAGAGTGTCTGAACCATGTAAACCCCTTTACAACACTAAAGGAACACTGTATATATTTTGAGGATGAATTGAAGGCTTTTGAGGCCCACCGATAACCCCATCAGCTCCAAAACAGTATCGACAGGATCTCCCTCGAATCCGATAAACGCCACCAAACCAACTTCGTTTCCTCGATCCAATCCCACTCAAACCTCGGAAGCTTCGAAGCTTTTCGCCCGATTAGCATGGCCCTGCGCCGAGGCAGCATGTTCTTCAGCTGTGCGGACAGCCCGGAATGTGGTCCGGGATATGGGGGACTCTGCCAGTTCTAGTGGAGGGCTCGTCGAGCTTTCCAAATGTAGCGAAAAAAATGCTGAAAGAGATTCTCACCGGTTGCTTACGAAGCGACTGCACCTGAGCCTTGAAACATATGTGCCAATGCGCAGTTTGAATCATTGTGGCAACAAGCTGGCCATTCTGCGCCTCCAAGACTGGATGCGATTTTTGTTGGACAAGAATTGCTTTCATATTGTTACGGGACTTGTTCGACCAGACGAGATTCGACAAGAAGCAATCCTGAGGCATTTCTGGGCGAGGTTCAAGATTTCGCATGAGGCCCATCCAATTTTTGAGTTGGAAAGACAGGGTCAGATCGCACTGGAACGGACCGCGCCATTACTGTTTCACGGCGACGAGGGCAGGGGCCGCCGACGACTGCCATTTCTTGTCACCAGTTGGTCATCCATGCTGGGACGTGGTGCAGAACCATCTGATCGATTTCGCAAGAAGCACGGTGTTCGGAAAGAATACATCAAACATCGGACAAACTTCCGAGGACATTCGTTCACGAACCGGTTTCTCCAGGTTACATATAGCAGCACATATTATACCATTTTTGGTCGGGCATACTTTAGATTTGGACATCGGGGTACCGTATACAGCCAGGTGGTTACCATATATACATCCTTTTTTTCCAGGCAGAGCAGAACGAGAACGATCCAATCTAACCGAAATCTGCAAACAAAGCTCCCTTGAACTGTTAATTGTTTTCAGAACTCCGGCAAATCGCCAAACCCCAGGCTGGATGGCCAAAGAAAGTGTACGAGGAGGAAGGTGCCTTCGACAGGCTGCTCCGATGTTGCAAGCGTGACAACGATTTTATGCTTCACGAGGGTCTAGTGGACAAGAGGACCAACAAGAAATACTATGCCATTGTGCTGGCGGTGGTGGGGGACTGGCAATGGCTGGTCAAATCGGGCAAGCTTGGTCGCAACTACAACCACGTTTTGAAAAGCTCCACACCAGTCGGGGCACCTGAGGGAATTTGTCATCTTTGCCAGGCAGGACAGCGAGACTATCCTTTCGAGACTTTTCAGACACGAAGCCCTACATGGTTGGCCACCTTTTGTGCGCAAGACCCCTTTGTAGGGCAATCACCCCTGGCAAGCTTGCCACACATGCCTGGCCAAGCGGCAACGCTGTTCAAGTACGATGTATGGCACACATGCCATCTGGGAGTTTGCAAACCTTTGGCTGGGTCGGCATTGGCTTTACTGAGCCTGCAATATCCCGGCAGAAGCAAAGATGCGAAAATGGAGAAGCTCTCTGACAACTTCATGGAGTGGTGCAAGCGCAACGGACGCCAACCTTTGCTAACGAAAATCACGAAAGACACGATTTTATGGGACAACAACACCAACTTCCCCAGCGCAAGTTGGTACAAGGGCTCTCTTTCCACTACCATGTGCGAGTACATCGAGGATGTGACAAAAGACAAGCAGTTTGATGACGTGCTTTTGATGAAATGCAGTGAGGCCGTGCAGGCCTTGAACAAGTTCATCACTGGCCTCTACGAGGCTGACGTGTTTTTATCCAGCAACCAGGCTTACACGTTGGGGGAATATGGGTTGCAGTTTTTGCGACGATATTCTTGGTGTGCAGGGGAAGCCGCTCGGCAATCCAGGTGTCTCTTCATCATTTTGCCCAAAATGCATTGCCTACAGCATATATGTTTACAGGACCTCGTGATGGCCTCCCAGCGCTTTGATCTTGTGGTAAATCCGCTCGTACACAGCGTGCAGCTGTGTGAAGACTATGTGGGGCGTAATAGCAGGACGAGCCGCAGAATCCACCCATCTACCTGTACTGTGCGTGCTGTGCAACGTCACTTGCAGCTTGCTTTCGCGAAGTACGTCGAAGCCGGATATCTGGTGGATGACAGCGCACAAATCGATTAGTTATGTTTCGGATGACATCGCACAAATCGAGAAGTGTAGCTCATGAACATATGCTGAAACCGTGTTCTCAGCCCCTCGCATTGCGGGGGCACCAGGAGCTCCAGGATGTCCGGAGGCATGGAAAAGATTCGGTGGTGAGGAGGCTTTGAGGGTGTAGGGTGCAAGGGTTGAGGGTTTCGGGTGGTTTAGGGTGTTGGGTTTGGGGGTCGTTTCGAGGCTTGAAGGGTTTGGGTTCAGGGGCTTTGTGAGCCTGGGGCTTTGGACTAAGGGTTGTCTTACAGCTTCCCAAATTGTGTCAGTTATGATTGGAGGGGTTAACCCTAAAACCTTGTATAAACCCATACAACATATAACTTATATATATGTACATAACCGAGCTTGGCAGCTGTTGAGAGCCATCTGGGTGCAATGGATGGTGGTGTACTTAAACCTACTTCCCGTCAAAACCCGGTTATTTCTTGTACATGTTTAAAAACCCGGTTCTTAGAAACAATACCTGGTTATTTTTTATAACCGACAAATTAAGCGGTTCAGGTTTCTCTAGGTAGGGTTTAGGGTTTAGGGTTTTAGGGTTTAGGGTTTAGGGTTTGGGGTTTTAGGGTTTAGGGTTTAGGGTTTTGGGTTTTGGGTTTAGGGTTTAGCTACCAAGGTTTATAGGGTTTGGAGGTTTGACACCCGAGACCCACAACACCCAGAAAACCTTCGTAAGCTCTTGGAATTACATCGGAAACCCTGCCACCTTGTAACCCTGTGAAAAGGCATAGAGACGCGTCAACCCTATGCTGGCATGCTGAAACCCCGCGACTCAAACACAACAAAGACTCTGCAAAAACTCCCTCTCAAAGGTGCCATTTGAACCCTAAACCAGAAGCCCTAAACCCTAAACCTGAACCCAAATCCCCTAAACCCTAAACCCTAAACCTAAACCCAAAATCCCCATAACCCTGAACCCAAGCCCAAAATCCCCTAAACCCTAAAAACCGCCCAGTGGCTCTTGTTCTGATCCGCCAGGGCCGCCTCGATGGCCGCGATCTCCTGCTGCCTGGCGCCCATTTCCTTTGCAGCTGGTCGGGCCCCGGCTCCGAGCGCAGGTTTAGGGGTTTGTTTGGGGTTTAGAGGCTTTTGGGGGTTTTAGGGGTTTAAGGTTTTGGGGTTTCAGGGTTTAAGGCTTTGGGGTTTTAGGGTTTTAGGGTTTAGGGGTTTGGGGTTTTGGGCTTTCGGGTTTTTTGGAGTTTTGGGGTTTAGGGTTTGGGGCTTTGGGCTTGGGGCGGAGAGCTTCGGTTGTAGGGCTGAGGATTTAGAGCTCTGGGCTCAGAGGGCTTTGTCCAGAACCTCGCAAAGCAGGTTGGGATGTCGGATGTTCTTGAGGGGTCCAGTTGCGTCCACAGCTACCCCTTTTCAAGCAAGGATCGGCAAGAACTCAGAAAGCAGAGGAGTCGGTAAAAAGCTCCAGGAATCTGAGGTCAGTTCAAGCACTCAAGGGTTCTAAGGAATTGGATTGTTGGGCCTTCTTCTGAGGTCTAAGTCCAGGTGTACCAAGCCGGTTCATGTTTGACTGCGGGTCAGGGCCATGAGTGCCATTCCCAAACGGTCCGAGAAGCTTTGATGGACTGGGCATCGGGCATCGCACCGCCTGTGCCCAGGAAAATGGCAAAGGATGACGACATTTCTGAGCAAGCACAACAACTCAGAAAGTATCATGGTCTTCATCATCACCAACGATCAATCATCTTGTTCTTTAGGTTAACATCACCACAGTTGTCATCACCATGCTCAGTATCACCGGCTCCGAAAGAGCACGACAGACATCTTTAGACGCTGCGCGGAGTCTGCCAGCAAGGTTTGGGTCCGGTAGGGACTCGCAAAAGACAAAAGCACTGAAAACTTATGCGCGAAAAGAGTCTAACTCCCAACTCCTAACCTACCGGACCTATGAGCCGGACCTACCCAGAGACTCTGAAATCTTTCGATTCCGAAGATGCCTCACGTTGGGTCGGAGGCTTCCCTGACCCATAGTTCCCACAAGCTCATCACCAAAAAGTTCATGGTCTTGGGGTTTTGGTTCATGAGCAAGGATTAAACTTTCCTACTTAGGGAGACGGGTTGGAGATGGCGGTTTGACCGTAAGCATGATGGGTCTTTTGCTACTGCTGCTGCTGCTGCTACGACGATGACTACTACTACGAGCAGTACGACACCCACACCACCACCACCACCACCACCACCATCACCAGCACCACCACCAGCACCAGCACCAGCACCAGCACC